TGGGTGTAAGTGTTAAAGATACACAATACAACTTTTTTTGGCCGCCTTCCTCACTCCTGAAATAATTTGAAGTTTCAGTGAACTTTCATTTGGTATCATACCTTACTTTGCGAATTGACCTAGTCAGCGAAAGACGAAAACCTCCTCAACACTATGGAATAAGGTAGGAGCAAGTATTTCAAACTTAAGGAACTTGCAACGCGCTCAAGGCTTGACTTTCAAAGTACAAGCACTTTGCAGTCATTTTGAGCACTTCAAGCTCTCCATAGTAAATTTTTGGAAGTCTCATTGTTGCCAAACCCGCATTTCCATCAATTTGGGGCTAAAAAACAGATGAACAGTGACACGATCATGGGCTCAAAACCTGTGAATTTCCTAAATATACGTCATGCTTAACTTCCTGAGATCTGAGGCTGTAGAAAAAATGCTTGTCATTTCTCTTTCTCCGCCTGTCGCGTAACGTCGTGCAGCGATTTGCTGCGCCCTTTTACTGCGATTTCAGATACCTAAAAGGATAACGCTTCACTTGACAGATGTACGTTCACCAAATTCAACGAAAACTTCAAATACCTTCCGTTTTGCGTCAAAATCCAATTGCTGCTTGTAAAAAATGCAGTTACGTAACATTTCAGTGCACTCCTCAAATGTGGAGCTGGACTGTCGTATATTTTCAACAGTGCTGAACAATATCCTAATTACCTCAGTGTTTTATATTTGCAAAACATGAAAGTCACCTCAAAGCGTTCTCAAGGTCGAACTGTACGCCAGAGAGCAACGCCGTTTGCTGATTCAGTAGAATTCTTCGATTTACAAGTCCAGGTAAACTGCGTCCCACATGTTCTGTAGCTCTTATACCACAAGCGGCTAATCAGAAAAAGGAAGTGTAATAAGTTACCTTGTAAACGGTAAAGCGCTAACGATGGATCATGATCAAGTATACGCACTGCATCCGTCAAACGTTCCGCCACTTAATCGACCTTCATTGGTTAATTACTTTGCTAAATTTTGAAGACGTATCGACCAGCAATGCAAGAAACTCACACAATCGACATCTACTATCCAGCTCCTTCGACTTCGCGTGATTTTGAGAAGACATCTGATTGTCAGCATTTTTGGGGAATGTTACACGCTCAATTTCAAAGCAGCACATACGTGGTCTTGACCCTTCGATATAACAGACACACGGGGATTTATGATATTTTTTCGCTATAATTAACAAGAAAAATCAACAATAGTAACAATGAAGACTTTTCAGATTTACAAAATCATAGAACCTAATACAATTGCAAATTTCCTATCAGATCAAAAACTTATCAAACCTATCTAACACAACGCTTCTTCAGCGCAGCAGCTGAGATTACTAGGCGATATTCATTCATAGTTATCAGAACGGAGGTAGAAACAGTGACAAACGACTCTTCACACTCTTACGGTCACATAGACCAGGACACGTTCAAACGCCTCAAGGACTACAATCTTCGACGCATCTTTTTCATCTCAAAGCAGAGCAATAAACTACTTATTCACAAACACATAGTAAATAGTGCAGTCATAAAAGTCAAGCGCTGGTTCGCTGGTCATGCTGATAGTCGGCCGCAGCGTATATGCTGATGAACACGCACAATCTATATAATTATTCATCAACCACCTAATAATCTCATTGTAAAAAAAAAGTCACAGGTATGAGCAATGAGGTTTGAAGGACGCTGACAAATATCACGATGGAGGAAGACCTTTTATTTCTTGACTTCATTTTCTTGTGAAGCCGTTTGTTGGATGATCTCGGCATTTTGAGCTGCTTGTTTTTCCCATTTTAGGCGATTCTCAAAGAAGCTCAGCTGTTCCGCATGATGCTCCAGCTCAGCGAGCTCTTTCGCAATCTCTTCGGCACGAACCTGGAAGCAGTCGGTTAGAGACTTCACACTGGCCATTAGAAATTATTTATTTATTTATTTATTACTATGCATTCGTAGGTGCGTTACAATGATTCACCAGAAACCAAATCAGTTGTAAATCAGAAACATCAATTTAAAATTAACTGAAATTCTCAACACCAATTATTCGATATCGTTGAAATAATGAAATACCTTTATAAAAGGCGGTCTGCTTGTGCTTTTATCAGTTCCTGTCGTCGTTTATGCCATTTTGTAAATTCTTCCTTCTGTTGCGTGGCTAATGCTTCCTCCTCCTTTTCCTTGACCTACAAAATTTCCTAGTGACTTTAAGAGAATTTTGGAAAGAGCGATCAAGAGTGAACATGACATGAACTGACGCCTTCTAATGTAGACAGAACGAGTGAACTGATCGGGCCTTCGCCTGAATTGCAACCTTCCAGTTTACCAAGGATCGCCTTTTGCTGCTCCGAAGGCTCCTCTCCTTCTGCCGGAGTGAACCGTTGCCGAATAATATCTGCTACACCACCATGAGTAGATGAAGAGGCTAAAGTTGACGCCATATCTAGCCTGGAAAAGTATCGAATAGCATACATTATACGAAGTTATTGATTAATTCTCTTTGTAAAAGTCTACGCCACATTTCGCGAATGCATCAGAAGGATGCTTCGATATCGACAAAACGTTCATCCTTGGATGAAGCTTAAATTAAATGTACCTTCAAATTCTGCTAAAAAGCAGTTAACCAAGGTAAGCAAATCAGAAACTACTGTAATTGGCTGAAGCTTTCAGTTTAATAGTTCACTAATGAGTCCACCAATCCGCTTCATTGCACTTGAGTGCTGACAAACGATAAAACATTTCGCCATCTATGAATCGTTTTCCGGATGCGGCCATCATTCTGTTCATTCCACCTAGTGCGCGAAGCTTGAATGTAATCTAGCCTATACAATGACTTGTGTAGGTCAGCAAGTCAGTGCTTTATCCTCCAGACAAGTTTGATGTGAATTAACCGATCCCAGGGCAGGAGGATTGACCGGCCTGAACGAGATTGGACTCGAGACATCTGGATTTAACCCGAAACTGTGCGCCGTAAAAAAGTGCGCCGCTCACCGATATCACGTCACCCTCGCTCCGTACTGATCAAATTAAAATAGCGCAAGGGGAGTGTGTTTGAAACTTCGCACGGGTTCGAGTCTCATCAAGGCCGAAATGTTTCACATCTACCTTACGTCCTTGGCATAAAATCATCGAGTGCGCTTCATTTGCGCTTATGTACCTAGCCGAATTCCCACAGGCGCCAGGATCCGACATAAAGTTTCTTCGTTCAGTCTAAACTTCTGACCTGTAACTCCTTCACATATTTCGCAAAGATCCCGTCTTAATTCCACCGAAACAAATCATACATCATTCTTCGCAACCCAACTCATGCAGTATTCCCCCTACCCGTTGAGGAGACCTCACGTGTGAATTAGCTTGATATCAAGAGGCACGCCTGAAATTTTAGCATCCTTCTGTGAGCATTCTACCGCTGCACTGCTGATGGCACCCATCTGCCCAATAAGTCGTGAGGCCGTAACATTCCGGACAGCCCCTCTCAGTAGCCGGCTGTTCAAAATGTTCGCTACTTTTATGCTCATTTCTCTCACGCCAATGCAAATATGACTGCACAGAAATTTTCATATGTGACATGATATTCACGCTTCAAAAGCAGATGTTACATTCATTTGAAGGTCGGAGACGGGAAAATATATCTACCATCGAGAGGCAGGGCCTCCGCGGGAGCGGAACCAGGCGCGTTTGGTGCGCAGGGTGCACCAATAGTACCTAATAGGGTTCACCAGTGGCGGTGGCATTCTTTATGGCTGTCTCCGCCCACTGATTGGCTACACCTCATCGTCAGACCCTACCCGTCTTGACAGAGAGACAGAGAGCGTTCAGACGACCATGACAAGACCCGTTTCGTCGCAGAAATCAAAGTGAATTTTAATGTTTTAATCCATTTCCCTTACTTTTTTCTTTTCACAATCAGCTGCACCTTCTACTAGCTCTACTTTTTCCCAGCGGGCAACCAATCACGTAACATCTGCCCACAATTCAACCTTCATTGCTATGTATCTGAAACTACTCTTGTCGATCTTAAAATATACATCCTGGGTTTCAGCTATGATAACACACACTAAAATGTACCTGTTGTATAAAACAGCTCCGAGAAGTCTCAAAGATTGCTTCATCGGTTCAGAGAAAGAACGCGAATCACGTGCCACCCAGAGCAAAGTTTTTCCTACCAGTTGATGGGGATCGGTGAGATCAAAGTGAGAGTCGAAATAAGCATTCTTCAGATAGGGAAATTTGAATGTCTTCTATAATAATCGAACCATTTAATAATAGAAAAAAATCATCAACTTTCACCATAGTATTGAAAAGAACGATAGAAAAATCTAAAATAATCTTCAAAAGTCAATGATTCTCACAATATCATCATCGTTGACTTCCTCCTCCTCCGTCTCATCACGTGGCATTGTCTGCTCCTCAGACGGAAGTTCGGCCCACTTTGTACATGAATACAGAACTAAATTGGATGAAATATTAAAGTACTGAAGAATCTTTGGGATCGAGATACATAAGACTGTGCTGTTTCCAATTCCTTCCCACAACAAATTCA